TCTGTTCATGGCTTTGTTAGAGGGGTTTGGTAGTCTCTTTCTGGATTTGTTAGAAGGGTTTGGGGTTCTATTTTCATGGATATACTTGGTGGGTTTGGGATCTCCTGCCCTGAGTTTGATAAAGGATTTTGGCATGTCCAGACATGGATTTATTACAGGGGTTTGGGGATTGTCTTTGACGGATTCATTAGAAGGGCTTGGGGATCTATTAAGTTTATTAGAGGGATTTGGGATCTCCTTTCATATATTTATTATAGCAGTTTTGGCATCTCTGACTGGATTTATTAGAGGGATTGGACATCTCCAGACATGGATTTATTAGAGGGGCTTGGGGATGTCTTTTCATGGATTTAGAAGAGGTAGTTTGGGATCTCCCATCATGGACTTACTCCAGTCTTGACCGGCATGTTGTAGCTACCCTAAGAATTCCCTCCTGAGTATTCCCTAATCATTCCTGAGCCTGGGATGGCCCAGCCTGCACCTGACAGAATCATCCACCTTGGAAAAGACCTCCAGCATGACCCAGTCCCAGCCTCACGCCAGCACTGCCATTGCCACCCCTAAACCACGTCCCCAAGTGCCACATCCATCTCACTTCCAGAGATGGCGACTCCACCACCTCCCTGGGCAAATTATTCCAATGCTTAACCTTCTTCCGGTGACTTTTTTTTTTTTCCCTAATATCTCTAACTGCGGGCTGTGGTCACAGGGAATATGTTGTCCAGCCAGCTCACTCCCTGAAACTGACGGGCAGTCCCAAGAGAGGCTGCCCCGGATCCCTACGGAGACATTCCCGGTGGCGCTGGGTACAGGGGCTCACTGCTCCCTACAGCTGATGGCTGTGGCATGGGTGACACAGCAGCAACCCAAAACGAGGAACCAAGGCCAAGGAATCAAGAGGAATCACGTGTCTGAGTTCAAAGGAAGGTTTATTTCCCCAGAGGGAGTCAGGGACAAGTGACAATAACTGAGGGCAAAAAACTACTTTTAAGAAAGGGAGGGAATAAGGGGAGGACACAACCTTTTACCAATAGGAAGGCATTAGGGAAGGAGTACAGGGTAAGGGCTATCTAATAGAAGCCAACAAGGGGGAGGAGCAAGTCTTGCAATCCAGTCTTGCTTCGAGGAAGGGATGAAGGACAGGGAACATTCCAGAAGAAAGAGGGTGTGCTGTCTTTGATAGACAGGGGATTGACATACACTTGGTGGGAAAATCTTGCACTAAACAATTCAGGACTGAATCATCAGGGAAGCCAAATGGGGTACATGGAATGAACCATTACACACTTATAACAAGGAATATTTAAAACCTACTACAGAAGAACAAACTGTAAAATAACAGACTACCACCACTACCCACTCTGAACCTCCCCTGGCACAACGTGAGGCCATGCTATTCATTGTGGTGCACTGACTGTGGCATGAAGGGAGAGGAGAGAACCTGTGTGCCTCAGGGATGGAGGCTGCATGGCTCCAAATATCCTGGGGTGCAATATTTCTAACTTTGCCATCAGTGGCAATGCTGTGAGGCTGGGGAAATCATATCTGTGGTGAACTTGCTCCTTTGCTGAGTCAGGTCTGAAACCTGAGCCTTCAGTGGTTGCTAAAGCTTGTTTAGTGCTGGTCTGAATCCTGGTGGGGAGGAGTTTTCAGCTACCCAGGAGCCACCCCGCAGGCTAGGAAACAACTCTGTAAAGTGAGAGCTTGGGCTCTACAGTGAGAGGTTGGCCCCTCTCTGCACCTCTTTGTGGTGTCCCCGGCACTGAGGAGATTCCTGCCAGCTCAGAAGAGCCCTGAGCCTTGTCCTGAGGGTCTCCTGCTCCATCCCTGGAGGAATCACCTGAGGATCTGTCTCTCCAACTCAGAGAGGCTGTTTTCATTTTATTGCTGTGGGCTTGGGAGCTGCTCCCACCAAGGCTGCCCCCCTGGGTCCTGGCCAAGGTGGAACACAAGACACAACAAAGGTGAGGAGTCCTGAGGGATCCGAGTAGCACGGTGAGGAGCTAATGGAGCATCGAGGAACTCCAGTGACTCAGCACTGATAAGGTCACCAAATCTTGGCTTTCCAAGAAAGGAGGGAAAAGGCAAAATAAACTACCCACAGTCCAAAGCTGTGAATCATTAACAACAGGAACATCAAAGAGCAGAGTGCAACAATTCCAGCCATCAGTTGCTTTCCAAAGCATTTTCGGGGAAATCATATCTGTGGTGAACTTGCTCCTTTGCTGAGTCAGGTCTGAAACCTGAGCCTTCAGTGGTTGCTAAAGCTTGTTTAGTGCTGGTCTGAATCCTGGTGGGGAGGAGTTTTCAGCTACCCAGGAGCCACCCCGCAGGCTAGGAAACAACTCTGTAAAGTGAGAGCTTGGGCTCTACAGTGAGAGGTTGGCCCCTCTCTGCACCTCTTTGTGGTGTCCCCGGCACTGAGGAGATTCCTGCCAGCTCAGAAGAGCCCTGAGCCTTGTCCTGAGGGTCTCCTGCTCCATCCCTGGAGGAATCACCTGAGGATCTGTCTCTCCAACTCAGAGAGGCTGTTTTCATTTTATTGCTGTGGGCTTGGGAGCTGCTCCCACCAAGGCTGCCCCCCTGGGTCCTGGCCAAGGTGGAACACAAGACACAACAAAGGTGAGGAGTCCTGAGGGATCCGAGTAGCACGGTGAGGAGCTAATGGAGCATCGAGGAACTCCAGTGACTCAGCACTGATAAGGTCACCAAATCTTGGCTTTCCAAGAAAGGAGGGAAAAGGCAAAATAAACTACCCACAGTCCAAAGCTGTGAATCATTAACAACAGGAACATCAAAGAGCAGAGTGCAACAATTCCAGCCATCAGTTGCTTTCCAAAGCATTTTCGGGCGACAACCTGCAGGAGAAATCTCTTCCACGGCCCCTACTCCGACCACAGCAACATGGCTTTGAGGCTTTGCTGTGCCTGGATTTCCATCCTCCTCCTCCTGCCCAGCCTCTCGGACGGAGGGAAGCTCCTGGTGGTGCCCATGGTGGGAAGCCACTGGCTGAGCATGCAGGAAGTGGTGGAGAAGCTGAGCCAGAGGGGACACGAGGTGGTGGTGCTGGTTCCCGAGGTGAGCTGGCAGATGGAGACCACGCAGGCCTACAAGGTGGTCACGCACCCGGTGAGCCAGACCCTGGAAGAGCTGGATAACGCCTTCCAGGAATACCTGGCCGTGCACCTCACATTCCAGGAATACCTGGCCGTGCACCTGACCCAGAAGCCTTTCCCCCTCAATGCCCTGGCGATGTACAAGATCTCGGTTCAAACTTTCAACACGTTCTTTGGGCAGTGCAAGGACCTGTTCCGCAGCCAGGAGACCCTGAAGTTCCTCAACGAGAGCAGATTTGATGCCATCCTGACGGATCCTTTCTTCATGTGTGGGCCCATCCTTGCCCACCATCTCTCTCTTCCCTTTGTGTTCTTCATGAGAGGATTTGGTTGCAACCTCCACTTTTCAGCCCCACAGTGCCCAAGCCCTCCATCCTACATCCCGAGACTCTTCAGCTTCAACTCAGACCACATGACCTTTTTCCAGAGGGTGGAAAATGCCCTGATTTCCCTCCTGGAGCTTGATTACTGCAACGGTTTCTATGGAGAAGCGCTTAAGCTGTCCTCAGAAGTTCTTCAGAGGGATGTGTCCCTGATGGACCTCGTGAACTCCGCTGCCATTTGGATCCTGAGGTTTGACTTTGTGTTCGAGTACGTCAGGCCAGTGATGCCCAACATGGTCTTTGTTGGGGGAATCAACTGTGCTAAGAAGAAACCACTGCCTAAGGTATTGTTCCTTTGCCTAAAATTGTACATTTTCCAATGAAAGGATGGGAATTATGTTGTTTCAGGAAGTTTATTGCTATTGTTTATTATTTTTTAAATTTCTCTGGTAATGATTTAATCCAAGTGAATGATTTAATCCAAGTTTGGGCAGTTGTTTCGGACAGGCTGAAATCAAATGATCTTGATAGAGACTTATTTGAATTAATGAGGGTTTTGTAACAAACCAAACAAAAATAGGATTTTAGTGCCAGAGGGAAATTACTGTCCTCACTGACTGTATCTTAACCACCAACCAGATCCAGTTATGATTTCATTTTAATGGTATCTGACATCTACTTCTTTTAACTCAGCAAAAACCCAAGATTCATCTTTTGTTTTTAACTCCAGGCTCAGCAGCATCAGTTTCTCCACTTCAGCTGTCTTTTCATGACAAATTATTTCCAAACTGGCTGTCTGTGTTAGGTTACTCCTGTTTATGGCGGTGAAATATCAATGTTGCATTGAAGTGGCAAGAAAGAATCTTACAGTTGTGGATTTGGTGAAAGACACTTAGATGGAGAGCTCAGATATTTAAGTTCTCATACCTTGACATCTGCTTTTACCAGAATTGTTCTGCAGTGTCTTAAAGCTAATCTAGAAATCTAAATCTATTTTGATAGTCAGCATGCAATCTCTAAAATGGTAACAGGGGACATTTCTTTCCAGGCACAAAGCAGGACACAAATCTCTTTCCCAGGAAATTGCGCCCTCCCTTCTGAATTGTGGTCACACAATATCTCTGCACAATGTCTTTGAGATGGAGGGGTGGCATTTTTCTTTCCTATATCAGATTTTTTTAATGCTCTTTGACAGGCTGATGGAGCACCCTCTAAACTTGATAAACAAAGCAAAGACTAATATTATTAATTGGAATATTAGGATAAAGCTGTACCTAAGGCATTCTATCTCATTAGGCGGACAAGAGGGACACCAGTTTGAGATTTAAGAGGCAAATTCTCACTGGTTCCACAATATAATTCTTTACTTTTATATCCTGAAGGTCTCAGAGCTGCAAAGAGTTCGTAACTTTGCTACAAGGGTAGAGACGTCCTGCCCTCATTTTATCCCTGCCAGCGCCTGTCTTCACACTCCAGTTCGGTGAAAATCACAAGTTCCACAGCTGGAAAAATCTTCTGTAATTAGCCTTTCCTCAGTCTCTTTTCTAGCTCCATTTTCTGCAGACTGCAGAGGAATTTCTCCTGTTTCACGTTGAACAGTGCCCAGCAGAGAGTGTAAACAAGAGTCAAGTGAGTCACAGCGGGTGATGGAATCTGCCTGTTCACACACTCCCGTAAAGCCCTGGGTTGGTCATTACTGTTCAGAAACATAATCCCATGGGAAGAATAAATAGTTCCCCAAAGCCTATTGAACCCATTGCTCAACAGGTAAGAATGAAAAAGGATTATTGGGAGAGGGAGAGAGAAGAAGAGATTCAAATTGCAGATTCTTCCTCAGACAAGGGATCCACAGGCCTTCTTGTTACACCACTCCCATAGTTTTCCACAGGCAGGGGAATGGGGCACGGTGGTCTCATTCCAGGTAAGAGCTCCTCTCTGCTGGATCTGATGTGGTCCCATGGAGGAGCTGCTCTGAGCTGAAGGAGCTCAGGCTTGTGCAGAACTGACCCTACTTACCTTATCCAGCTGGGAATCCAATCCTAATTTGTGTGAGGATCATCACACAGGTTGTGGGAGAACATGAGAGCAGAGGGCTGGGCCTGGGGCAGCACAAACTGCATTTCCACCTTGACTAAGCTCCCTCTGGCTGATTTCCTCTTGGCCTGCACTTTGCATGGGCATGTGTCTCAGCAGCAGTTACACCTTCATGAACAGGCAGAGACATCCCAAGTTTCCAACTCCTCAAGTGTCTGGAAGTTTAACACAAGGCCTGCACCAATCAGAGCCAGTATCTTGGCTCTAAGAAGTACCTGGAGGCTGGCGTGGTGACACTGCAAACCAACTCAAACCATGTGCTCTGGGACGCTCTGGTGACAATCTCCTCTTTACCCAAAGTTAATGCAAAGCTGCTTTTTTGGCCAGCTCAGAAAACCAAAAGTGGGGTGATTTGATTAAACCAATGTTCAGGAATTTAAGCTACAGCCACCTCTCAAAGATCTCCCTGGTTTTTTCTAACCTAAACCTCCCAGTACTTATTTGAACAACTGGTCAACGGAAAACATTAGATTAACTCCAGGTTTAAATAGGTAGCTACTCAAGTAAGGACAAAGTGTGAGTGAATAAACACCTTTTTCTCACCAGCACAGGGCTTAAGAGCACTGATCCTGCTTTAAAACACTCTCCATCTTCCCAAGGTTTCTATTCATGTCTTAGGAAACAGTGGCCCTAAAAATGATCTTTGTTCTATGATTTGCTTCTTGCTCTCACAAAAATTTCAATTCCTTTCCAACTCATGTAATTGCTTTTATGGGTTGTTTTTCCTCTAAACCTCCTGTGTCTCCACAGTGTAAAAAAACCAAAACCTGAGGGGGAATCGTTCAGGTTCCAGTCAGCAGCCACCAACTTGCATTTCCCAGATGCTGCTTAGCACCAAAAACAGGGTCTGGGTTCAGTTACACAAGGCCTCCTCCATGGATAAGCCTGATCCATCATCCAGGAACCAGGGAAGTCAAATTACATAGAATCATAGGCTGGTTTGGGTTGGAATAAATTTTAAAGCTCTTCCCATTCCACCCCCTGCCAAGGCAAAGTACAAAGGTATCATAGAATGGCAGATGGTTTGGGTTGAAAGGGACCTTAAAGATTATCTCATTCCAGCCCTCTGCCACCCTGGGCAAGGGATGTCCCTCACATCTTTCCATCAAACCCTGAGTAACAACAACTTGGTGTTTAAATCTCCCAGCTGTCTTGTGCACTGTCCATTTATCCCCTCTCCTTTCAGCCACAGTGAAGGTTACAGGACTGAAGAGTTTGCCTATTTTCTACCACAGCCATCCACTGGATTGGTTCCTTTCCATCTGTCTTTAATGTCAAGGTGTCAATACCTAAGCCCCAAAAGAAATCCTCTTCCAGTTCCATCCTCCCCTTCTCTTCTACATTATTGAATTAGGTTTAAAGCCTTCCTGGGTATGGGTATCTCCCGTAGATTTCCATTTGGGCTTTTGTGTAGCAACCTTCCCGTGTTCCTTTGGCAGCCTTGTCTGAGGTTATGACCTGTCTTCTGTGCATTTCCATCCTCTGAGCTGTTTGAAAATTCCCATTAAGTTAATCCCTGCTGTAACCTACCAAGATGGGATCAGCATTGGTGATGGAGCTGCTGCTCCTTTTGGAGGGCGGGTTCTCAGCAAAGTCTGGGATTTGCCTCCAGGCATGGGAAGGAAGCTGCCGCAGCTACATGGAGAAAAAAAATCCAGCAAGATTTTAAAGTCCAGAATGCCTTAGAGAGGGAAATTGTTTCCCGTATTCCCCTGCTTATAGGCTTTAATGAGCAGTTATCATCAACATTAAACCCCCAGCAATTGATAACCAAGAAGGACCTGGACACAGGGTTGAGGTCATGAACTGACCCAACCTTGGTCATGAACTGACCCCTCATTGGCCGTGAAGGATTCATGACTGTGTGAACTAGTGAGGTGTTGTTGGTCTTTGTTATCTGGGGTACAAGGGTGAAATGCTCTTTTGCAACTTCATTTATACCTGATAGGATAAGGGGTTTAGCAGAAATTTATATGGAGAGATGGGGAAAGATTTTCTTATGGCTGCGTATCTTCCAAAAAAAAAAGAAAGTTTGCGTTAAGGAAATTTAATTATTCTCAGGGGTGCCAGCTGGTTTTGGTTATTGAAAAAAATAAAGCAAAACCCCAAAGCCCGGGTATGGTTTGGTGTATTTCTCATATTAATCTGTACTGTAAGTTATGTTTCACTCTATGAGTGGCATCAGCTTCCTTAGGGATGAAAGTGCTTTCAAAAATGCTGCATTACCTCAGTCTGTGACAACTCTGTCAGCCTCCAGTGGCAGCAATGGAAAAGAGTCCTTTCCGTGCTCTCTTGATCGGCACACTCCTCCCTTGTGGGCTCAGCAATGTTTTTTTCATGGATTTTCCCTGCATTTTGCCATCAGACTTTGGGTGTGGTGGGCTGGTGGGAAGAAGTGCCACAAAGCCAGGGTCCTGCTGAGGGAAGAAGGCGGCACTGAGCCAACAACCTTACCTTGGCCTGTGTGAAGGTGACACACCTTTCTTGACTCATACAAAGCCACCTCTGAAGTCCAAACCTGCCCTGAAACCTTCCCAATCTTTTACTGCTTTCTTGTGGCAATGTTCTGATAACGCAAAATGGGAGGAGAGTCAGAAGTGCAGAGGTGGGGCTACAAAAGCTGGCAAATCCAGCCATCAGTTGCTTTCCAAAGCATT